AGCCTGCTAGTTTAGAATGGTTTCACATTTTTGAATGCTGGAAAAAAAGGAGGAATGATATTTTGTGATACATGAAAATTATATGAATTCAGATTTCAGTATGTATAAATAAGATGTTATTGGAACACAGCCCTGCCTGCTCCTTTGCTTACTTATTTGTCACTGCTTTTGTGTACAGTGGCAGAGTTGAATTGTTGTGGCAGAGACTATGTGATCTGCAAAGCCTGATGCTAAATATCTGGTCCTTTGTAGAGAAAGTTGGCCAAGCCCTTTTCTTATAGGGATGTCTTGTTTCTGGCTTTTAGCCTATACTCAGCATTAAGTACTTGTTGATGAATAATTAACTTTTAATGTAATATTTAAGCATGTGTAACTTTTAATATTCTCAGATTTAAGAATTTCAGTAATATAGTAAGGATGTACTATAATTTCCTAAAGGATTTAAAGAATCTTTTAAAGATTTTAAAGTTTTAAAGAACTATTGGGTTTGAAATATTATCAGATTATTCATACTTTTTATCTTTTTGGGTCTAAGAGTTAAAGGATACAGTGCAGTTCTCCCTGTGAACTTGACTGAATTAGGAAATATGCCTCACACCCAGGACTTGGATGTTAGCAAATGCGATGGTTAATTTTATGTGTGAACTTGACTAGGCTGTGGTGCCCCGTTGTTTGGTCAAGCACTAGTCTAGATTTTGCTGTGAAGATATTTTATAGAGGTGACTAACAGGTACAATCAGTTGACTTTAAATCATACTACTTTCCATCATGTGGGTGGGCCTTAGCCCATCGGTTGAAGACCTGAAGAACAAAGATTAAGGTTTTCTGAGGAAAAAGAAATTCTGCTTGAGTTTCCAGCCTGCTGGCCAGCCCTACAAATTTCTGACTTGCCAGTCACGACAATCATGTGAGCCAATTCTTTAAAATCTCTCTGTCTCTGTGTGTGCCTGTTTCAGTGTTGGATATTCACTCAATAGATTAGATACAGATACAGATACAGATATAGATATATTTCCTATTGGTTCTGTTTCTCTGGAAACAGAAATACAGCAGGCTGCTGTGATGTGTTGCACACGTGGACCGTCTTCAGTGTTTGGTACCAGGATACAGCAAGGATGCTAAGCATAGCCCTCCTGCCGTGCATCCTCCTTCTTCCTTCGCACCTCCTTCAGGCTTCTGTCTTTTACAGCTCCTGAAAGGAAATGTGTTAAATTTGAATACCACGGAGTTAGAAGTAAGTTCACTTGTGGAGGGGCAGAGAACTTTTTCTCAGTCCAAGACTGTTTGAAGTTGTTAGAAGACTGTCAGTGAGGATGATAAAATCAAACAGAAGCAAATGGGCCTGCTGATATGGAGCAGTTGGGCACATAAGAAGGACTAGACAAATTTCTGAGTGGCAAAGTTTGTGAAAGTTTTTGCCTCTCCTTGTCCCTCTGAAAAGAAAAGCTTCCTGGGTGTACCAACTGCACTGGAGCCTACCAAGTCCATGTAACTCTCTAATTTGGTTCTCTTATGCTATAGGTGGTTCCTTTTATTTTCAAGTTTTGTCTCTTTGGCAAAAAAAAAAAAAAATACAAAAAAATATTTTGGATAAGAGTACAAATAGACGCTCAATATAGAGCAGTTTTGCTTGTATTGCTACATATGTAAGAAGGTTTATTATACCAGTAGATGTTAAATTTGCCTGATAAACTATAATATTGCATATGAAAATTTACAAATTTGGGCAGAAAAAGATCCATTTGAGTAAGTGGCAATTTATATTTCTAAGCAAAGTTTGTCAGGCTTTTCAACGGTGCTAGAAAATAGATTTTTAATGTTTTGAGTCTTTCTAATTGGATATTATGCTGTCAGATTGCTGCAGGAAATGGTTGACCCACAAGTGAATTGAAGATACGGTTTCCTTCCTGTTCAACAGCCTGTCCCCTATTTCTGTCCCTAATACCTATTAAGCTTCATTGTCTGTAAGTGAATTACGATCTTTATGTGGTGTACCATTTTTAAGCGTGATTTTATTCTGAGGACGTGTTCCACATTTTATTTACCTTTTAGGATTAACTTTATTTGTTTATTTTATTTATTTTTGAGAGAGAGACTTGCTTTGTCACCCAGTCTGGAGTGCAGTGGTGGGATCTCGGCTTCCTGCAGCCTCCGGCTCCCAGGTTCAAGCGATTCTCCTGCCTTAGCTGCCTAAGTAGCTGGGACTACAGACATGCCCTACCAGGCCCAGCTAATTTTTGTATTTTTAGTGGAGATGGGGTTTCACCATATTGGCCAGGCTGGTCCTGAACTCCTGACATCATGATCAGCCCGCCTTGACCTCCCAAAGTGCTGGGATTACAGGTGTGAGCCACCGTGCCCAGCCCCTTTTAGGATTAACTTTAATCTCAAAATCATGTATCTATACACCTATTTCCTTTTTGTTGACTTCACTTAAATGCATGGTTTGTTAAACAAAGAATATTTGTGGACAAATATTTACCATGTCTGTTACATGTAACACACAAGAACAGCCTTTAACAGAAGTTCATCCACTCACCCCAACATTTTTTATTGCATATATAGGTATCAAAACAATCCTGAACATTTTTTGATACTACTAGTCATCAGCATCCACATTGCTTCAAAAATTAACACATTTGTGACAACATTCATTGTACCTGCTACTTTTTAAACAATTTCAACTCCAGCTCTCTTTCCCTAAGCAGGATGTGTAAAGCATGCCATTTCTGTTTTCTTTCTTGAGATTTTTACTTTTTTAGAAACACACATGCTTCCACTGCCATCTAACACTTCTCTACACACTTTTATCTTGGAAACCTGAATTCTATTTCGAGTACTCCAGGTTTATGTTTAAGTGACAGTGCCTTAACAAGAGAAAAAAAATTGTGCTGCGTTTTCCTCCTGTCACCTGAAAATATAATGGGTGTACATATATTAGATATATTCTTACATAAGTATAGGTTATGTTTACCAGCTAGAATTCTTTTATTTAATGTGTGGGTATTTTGCATTGTGATATTTAATCAAAACATTAACATGAGTAGAGGTTGTTGATTTAAGACAAGTTCGAGATCCACTAAAATTAATTGCTGTATGTTTGTTCTTCTGGTGGCTGTGGAAGCTTCGTATTTTCTTTGGACATCATTAGACATCATTAGCATCATACAACTTTAATGCTATATGAATTTTGCTATTTTGCTAACACTGGTATGCTCCAGGTATCCACCATCCCACTGGAATGATTTATTCCATTCATATTAAGTTTTGTTACAAATATAACTGATGGAGGAGCTTCTGGGTATTTAGGTCCACATTCTACTTTCAGGTTATATATTCTGTTTTCTTTTCTCTTTCCCTTCCCTTCCCTCCCTTTCCCTTCCCTCCCCTCCCCTTCCCTTCCCTCCCCTCCCCTCCCCTCCCCTCCCTCCCCTCCCCTCCCCTCCCTCCCCTCCCCTCCCCTCCCCTCCCCTCCCCTCCCCTCCCCTCCCCTCCCTTCCCCTCCCTTCCCTTCCCTTCCCTTTCTCTTTCTTTCTCTTTCTTCTTTCTTTTTTTTTTTTGTGACACCGTCTTCCTCTGTTGGCCAGACTGGAGTGCAGTGGTACGATCTCGACTCACTGTAACCTGTGCCTCCTGGGTTCAAGTGAGTCTCCTGCCTCAGGTTCCTGAGTACCTGGGACTACAGGCATGTGCCACCATGCCCAGCTAATTTTTGTATTTTTAGTGGAGATGGGGTATCACCATATTGGCCAGGCTGGTCTCGAACAGGAGTTCGAGACTCCTGTTCGAACCTTGTGATCCACCCACCTCTGCCTCCCAAAGTGCTGGGATTACACTCAGCCTTTATATTCTGTTTTCATAATTTGTCCTTGGTGACCCAGTAGTCATGCCTGTCCACCTTGTGTCATATTTTCATCATCTTCAAGGCCCAGCTAACTGTACCATTGCCTCCTCCTTTTTGTCCTTCTTCAAGTTCTTCCAACAAGTGCAAAATAGGAGGAACTTTAACTTCTGTGGAGACTGCGATCTTCTGCAGCCCAGCGCAGCCACTTGCATGCACGTAGGACTTAAGTGTGATTTTAAAGAAGTGACGTCATTTTGAGTTTTAGAGGTCATAACCACTAGCCATGCCTTCTTCAGCCAGGGTTGTTTTATAAATATATAAATAAAACAATTGGAATATAAAAATAATTTCTTTTTGCTCAGAATACTAGTTCACTTTAAATAGCTAAAGTCTCTTATGTTCTTTTTATGCTGCTAAGAGTTTTAATGATCTGTTTATGATTTTTAATCAAATAGATGATGACATTTAAAGCAATTCATTTCAGCAGTGATTCTGTGAGCAGTTTTTGAGTATTCCCTAGGGACCTGGTCCTGTGTATAGGTCCTGTGATTCTGGGGCTGTATAGCCAGGTGTAAAGATGTGAGTCCTTACTCTTAAGTTGCTGCCAGTCTTCTGGAGAGACCAGCTTGGAAACACAATGTGTGATGAAGGGAACGAGAGAACCATGTTCAAGGAACAGAGATTGGCCAGAAACTGGAGGGATTTATTCAGTCTGTTGAGGACTAGAGGGCTTCCCAGAGAAAATTACAGCACATTTGGGCTTTGATGGAAAGATAGATGATACCCATTTGAAGAGATTAATATGTTGGACTGAGATTGGCATCTATAAGTTTTTGCATATATGATCTCTTCAAAATCTCAAGTCGCATGCATTTAGGCTTAGTAAGCAGATGACTTCTGAGGCTCTTTGAGAATTTTGTGTATTATTGTTAGTCTTTTTTTTTCTTTTGCAAGAATAAAGCACCACTGGGGATTAATGTAATTTGTTAAAACAATACTACCTACTGAGATCTTGTGTGTGTTCTTGTATTAAGTATTAGTGCTTATCTGTAAGGTACTAAAGAGGTACCTGATGGATGTTGATATTTAATTAACTGGCATTTTCCCCATTCTCTCTTCTCCCTGTCCTCTACTCCTGCCCCGGGTATTTTTGCAGTTGGTTAGTCTGCTGCTAATTGGAATTGCTGCGTGGGGCATTGGCTTCGGGCTGATTTCCAGTCTCCGAGTGGTCGGAGTGGTCATTGCCGTGGGCATCTTCTTGTTCCTGATTGCTTTAGTGGGGCTGATCGGAGCCGTAAAACACCATCAGGTGTTGCTATTTTTTGTATCCTTTTTTAAAATCAAGATTTTACCCTTGATTAAGATTTTAATGGTTACAACTAATTTAATATTATCACTAGGAAATGTATTGCCAGGAAGCCACGCCCAGCAAGCCTTATGCATGTTTGTTCAAGAACCGTTAGGAACATTTCTTAGGGTGATGTGTGTTTTTATATTCTCACTCCGTCCTTGTGACATCCTGAAAAATATATTCTGCAAGTTCAGTATAGTCCTATTGATGTTTTGTAAATTCAGAGTTAAATTGAATTGATTCGGTGACTTCTAGGCCCTTTTGTACACATTAATGTTTGGTTGAGAATTTCAGTGTTTTTTAGACTTAATGTTAAAAAAGCTTACATGTATTTATCTATACCTATTTCTGTTTTATATATGTAAGAATTTTCATTTTATTCTAAATGAAATTCGAATCTGTTTTAGTTATATAATTATCATTAGTATTTTTCTATATAAATTTAACGCAACTGTATATTACCAAAATAATAATATGTCTATCCTTTTTGAACTTTCTATAAGTGCCGTCTATCTGGTATTCTGGGTTAATTGCTTCTAGTGCATTCTAAAGTTGTCAGTACCCCTGTACCTCTGTTTTATGCCATTTTAAGAATATTTAGAAGTATCCTTAACTTCTGACTCTCAGTATATGATTATTCTCTTACTCGTATTTATTGTCCAGTTTTCTGTGTCCTGTGCTTGTTTAGCCCTGAACCAGGAGCAACAGGTAAGCTAAGACTTTTTTCTTTTACTTTATTATACCACGTAGCATGAGAATGAAAAAAAAGGAGAAAAATGACTGGAGTATAAAATAATTTCATCTTGCTCAGAATGCCACCTTCACGTTGGATAGCAAAACTCTCTTGTTCCCTTTGCCTTAGTGCACCTGGTTGGAGCTGGACACCATCAAGTGTTGCCATTTTCTGTATCTTTTAAATTGGATTTTGCTCTCACTGGGTAAAAAGTGCTATGGCTAAAAGATGTTCCCCCAATCTTTTCCCACTATTATGCAGTGAAACATTTGCTCTAGAATGTTTGCTGTTCCATTCTAGCAATGGAACTTTTCAAGCTCTAATTTGCAGACAAATCGAGGAGACAAATCTAGGTTTCTGTCCTGGAGCAACAGAAGGTTTGCCTTGTTAAGACTCTGAGAATTATGCCTTTGAACTGAGTGCTTCTTTTAAATTGCATGTAAAAATCAGGAGTTTTTCATTCTTGGGATAGAAATAGTGCCTTAATTTTTGCTGCCAACTGAGTAGTAAGCCTTGGAAAAGTTTTAACTATTTTTCAAAAAAATTATTTATTTTAGGTACACTTAGTACTAACAGTCACAGGGCCTAGCTTTATACATTTTATGCGGGGATGACATCTTTTGTATATTAAATACATTTTCTAGGGTCAGCTTCTTGAGGTTGGTTGGAACAATACAGCAAGTGCTCGAAATGACATCCAGAGAAATTTAAACTGCTGTGGGTTCCGAAGTTTTAACCCAAATGACACCTGTCCGGCTGTAAGTACATTGTATAAATGTTTCTAGAAATGTATTACATTCAGATGAATAATGATTAACATGGAAAAAATGGACTTTCTGATGCTGAATTGTATTTCAGAATTGTTTTATATATATCTATATTTACATTATGTTTCCATGTCCTGTGTTATATCATGTGCCTGTTCTCAAATACCCACTCCAGAGGATGCTGAGTAGACGTCCCTAATTTATTCCCATTCTTCTCCTCCTAGAACAAGTTGTGAAAGAGAAATAGCAGTAGGTCAGTTCATGGGTTCATATTCTGGGGAAACCCCTGTTATCACCTCTCTGCGCCCTAAGCTGAATATTTCCTCAGCGAGGCTTCTTTTGTGAGATTATCTCCTTGCAGGGCGTCTGGGTCATGTTCCTATTGCTGTGTAAGACATTATTACACAGCGATAGAAACACACTGGCTTTACAATTTAGTAGCTTTAAACACCCGTTTATTATCTCACAGTTTCCCTGGGTCAGGCTTGGTTGGTCTGGTCCTCTCTCACCTGGCTGAAATCAGGTGTGATCTGAGGCTGGAGTCTCACCTGAGCTTGGGGTCCTCTTCCCCACGCTCAGTGGTTGTTGGAAGAATTCAGTTTTTGTGGCTGTGGGGCCATCCCTGTTTTTTTTGCTGCAGACTAGAAGCCACTCCTAGGTCCTTTGTTACTTTCACAATGTAGCAGCATCAAAATCACCCTGAGAATCTCTCCATTCTGTTACGATAGAATCTTGCGTAGTGCATAATGGAGTCTTATCGAATGTAAAGTAACATGGGAGTGACTGTCCTATCATATTCACAAGTTCCCCTCATATTCTAAAGCTGTGAGCGTATGGGGTGTGTACAGGTGGGAGGTAGGGGGAGTCTTCGGGGCCATCTTAGAGATTTGCACACTAAAAAACCAAGGCCTCAAACTGGATGTAGTACTCTTAGATACCAGCTTTGTGTGTATGCAGTTTTTATGCACTTTTTATAAATGTATTTTGAAATAAAAGTTTTTTGCTTCAATTGGTGCAGAGCTGTGTTAAAAGTGACCACCCGTGCTCGCCGTGTGCTCCGATCATAGGAGAATACGCTGGAGAGGTTTTGAGATTTGTTGGTGGCATTGGCCTGTTCTTCAGTTTTACAGAGGTATGTGCAAATAACATTTTTCCTCCTTTGTCACAGAGATTCCTGTTTCGTATGGCAAAGGGCCTTGATTCTTGTAAAGAGTGAGTATTTTCATTGAGAGCTAGCACTGTAAAAAGAGGAACCTTGGTTTAGATTGAGAAGATCTTACAAATCTATTAATAGCACCAACTTTAGGACCAGGTGAAATGCTTGATCTATCTCCTCTATGTAAAATTTAATGAAATAATGAATGAGATTAGACTGAGTAATCTCTGTAGTCTCTTCTGGTGCTAGAATTGTATGATAAATAATAATTTTAAATTTAATTTGGAAAAGGTAGGATATTCACATTGCTTAATATGTATGTTAGTATCTATAATACATAGACATACATATATAAAAAGATGTGCTTTGGAAAATTGCCTTCCAATACTTTTTTCACTCTTCTTTGTTCCCAGCCTTCTAAAACCTGTAGGTGATCACTGTTATCATTTTCATATATGTATATATAAGCATATATACATAAATGTATGCTATATTCATATAGGAATATAGTATACATTCATATATGTACTATATTAATATATACTATATCATACACTACATTCGTATTTGTACCAATTAATGCATTCTATTCTATATATCTATAAATAAAACCACTCATACATTATTTGATAATTTTAAGGAGTGCTAATTCCTCAATGTCTTTATTAAACTCAGCATCTGTAGACATTTTTTGATGCTACTGAGTTGGCAATATGTGTCAAGATCAATTTTTGTTGTTTGTTGAGACTGAATCTCACTCTGTCACTGAGGCTAGAGTGCAGTAGTATGACCTCATCTCATTGCAACTTCTACCTCCCAGGTTCCAGCGATTCTCATGCCTCAGCCTCCTGAGTAGCTGGAATTGCAGGCGTGAGCCACTATGCCCAGCTAAGTTTTTATATTTGTAGTAGAGATGCGGTTTCACCATGTTGGCCAGACTGATCTCAAACGTCTGGCCTCAAGTGATTCACTTGCCTCAGCCTTCCGGATTGCTGGGATTACAGGCATGAACCACCATGCCCAGCTAATTTTTTGTATTTTTAGTAGAGATGGGGTTTCACCACATTGGCCAAGCTGGTCTTGAACTCCTAGACTCAAGTGGTCCACCTGCCTTACACTCCTGAATTGCTAGGATTACAGGTGTGAGTGACTGTACTCAGCCTAGATTAAATTTTTTTTTTTACTCATCAGTTCCACTTATAGTACTTTATTTCATTGAGACTGTTGTATAACTATGTAAAACGAATACACAATAACGTTTATTGTTTGTAACAGGAAACATTTGAGCCAGCCCGTGTTCCTCAGCAGCACACTGGTTAAATTGAGGCCTGTTGCAGAGGAGCAGTGGGTAAAGCATGGGCTTGGAGTGGCACTGTCTGGGTTGAAAACCTAGTGCTGCTGCTCATTAATTGTGTGAACTTGGCAAGTCACTTAACTTTTCAGTGCTCTTCTTTCCTCATCTTTAAAAAGAGCAACTTTTAAAAATGGGCTAATGATAGCCTCTACTTCACAGGATCGTTGTGATGGTGAAAGGAATCAGTACCTGTGAAACTTGTGACATCTTGTGGCCATTAATAAATTAATCCTCAGCATATTATGCCCCATTAAATAAAAAAGACTGAGCCAGGTACGGTGGCTCACGCCTGTAATCCCAGCACTTTGGGAAGCTGAGATGGGCAGATCACCTGATGTCGGGAGTTCGAGACCAGCCTGACCAACATGGAGAAACCCTGTCTCTACTAAAAATACAGAATTAGCTAGGTGTGGTGGTATATGCTTGTAATCCTAGCTACTCGGGAGGCTGAGGCAGGAAAATGGCTTGAACCCAGGAGAAGGTGGTTGTGGTGAGCCGAGATCACGCCACGGACACTCCAGTCTAGGCAACAAGAGCAAAACTCCATCTCGAAATAATAATTATAATAATAATAAAAATAAAAAAACACTGTGAGACACCCATTACTGTCATGCTTAAATGCCCATGTCACAGTCCTGTTTAAAACAGATAACAGAATAACATGTAGAGAATAATTCTTTTAAGGAAGACATTGTGTACATCATTGTAGAAATATGTGGTAGGCAGTTTGTAAGAATAAGCATGTATCTTTAAAAGAAAATCAGAAAAATTGCAAGTGATTTTTATGGTTGGAGTTTAGTGTGTTTATTTAATCAGTTGGGCATTTAATTTCCTCTTTAACATGTCACTATAGTAAAAACATTTCATGGTCAACATCCTTGTATAAGGTATCTGTATTCTCTAGCTTTTTTCCTTATAATACATTTCTTGAAGTAACATATAACACGGTATATGGATATTTTTAAAGATTTTGGATTTTTTTTTTTTTTTTTAGGCTGGTCTTGCTCTGTCGCCCAGGCTGGAGTGCAGTGGTGCCATATCAGCTCACTGCAACCTCTGCCTCTTGGGCTCAAGTGATTCTTGTGCATCAGCCTCCCAAGTAGCTGGGAGTACAGGTGCGCACCACTACACCCAGCTAATTTTTTGTATTTTTAGTAGAGATGGGGTTTCACCATATTGCCAGGCTGTTCTCAAACTCTTGGTCTCAAGTGATTTGCCTGTGTGGGCCTTGGCTCCCAAAGTGCTGGGATTATAGGCATGAGCCACCACACCTGGCCAGATTTTGGTAAATTTTACCTAATTGCCTGATGGGGAAATCCCACCAACTTTTGAATCAGCACTGAATCTCTATATTTTTATTATAAAACATATTTTGACAGTCTGAGGTAAACATAGTATTACTATTAGGCACTATGAAAACGAGGCTCATTAATTTGACCATATATGCAATTGTTTTTTCTTTTTTTGAGAAGGAGTCTCATCCTGTTACCTAGTCTAGAGTGCAGTGGCACCATTTCAGCTCATTGCAATTGCTGTCTCTCGGGTGCAAGCAATTCTCCTGCCTCAGCTTCCCGAGTAGCTGGCGTTACAGGCGCCCACCACTATGTACAGCTGATTTTTGCACTTTTGGTAGAGACAGGGTTTCACCATGTTGGCTGGGCTGGTCTCAAACTCCTCACCCCAGGTGATCCACCTGCTTTGGCCTCCCAAAGTGCTGGGATTATAGGTGTTATTTCACTGAGCCCAGTCTGTCTTAGGCCCTTTGGATTGCATGTAACAAACTCAAAATACCATATGCAAAACAGAAGAATTTTTATAAGAAAACCCAGGTTAACCTCTGGAGGTGGGCTGTGTGAGAGGCCACGTACAGCTTGTCCTGTGAAGGCTGGACCTGGAAGTCCAGGCTCTGCTCCGCTTGTATTTCCTACTTCCTTACCTCCCTTTCCTCCTTCCTCTCCATTTTGCCGTGTACTTTGCTTTGTTCTGCTTTCAGTGTCTTTGGCATTTACCTACCTTATGTTTTTTTAATGACTTTTTATATATATAAAGATTTTACTTTTCATGTAAGTGTAAATTCAAATGATCATTTTTTCCTTCCATGGGTTATTTCTTTGATTTTATGCTTAGAAAGTCCTTTCTTGTTTTGATATTGTGTGTGTGTGTAAAATGTATGTAATACATGAATTGCATTTGTACATATAGTATATACATAATGTCTATATATGTATAATGTATTGTATATAATATATGTTCATATATAGTACATTATATATGTATGTGTATTTATCATATATTTTATTCAAATTTAGTTTTTTTTTCCTCATCAAGAATGAAATATGTACATTTGGATGTCATTAACAGCATAGGGAAAAAGAGACCAAGATTAGTATTTATTTTTTTAAATATTTATTTTATTTATTTATTTTGAGACAGAGACTTGCTCTGTCGCTTAGGCTGAAGTGCAGTGGTGTAATCTTGGCTTACTGCAAACTCCACCTCCTGGGTTCAAGCGATTCTCCCACCTCAGGCTCCTGAGTAGCTGGGATTATAAGCATGCGCCACAAGGCTTAGCTAATTTTTGTATTTTTAGTAGAGATGGGGTTTCACCATGTTGGCCAGGATGGTCTGGAACTCCTGGCCTCAAGTGGTCTGCCCACCTCAGCCTCCCAAAGTGCTGGGAATATAGGCGTGAGCCATTGCCCCCAGGCCAGTATTCATTTTTTTAAAGTTTCCTCTGACTTCTGTTTTTCCTCTGACCATTTTTTCATTTTAGTTTTTCTCAGAAAAAGCTGACTTGTGAGTTTGTTGTGACATAAAATTCTAGGAAAATTATACACAGCTTGAAAATAATTCTGTGCATTTTTGTTTTTTTCATTTAAAAACCATAGATTTTTGTTATAAAAACTTAAAAATACAGATAGAGAAAAATTGGAGTAATTTCTCTCCTCACATCAGCTAGAGTCAGCAGTTATCAGAATTTTGCCTCGTGGCTTCTTTTTTATATCTGGAATTTATTTTGAGAATTTAGTTCTTTTGAGCAGCCCAGTTTCCTTGTCATCAGATCACACTGCCTTCAGTTATGCTGTTTTTTAAAATATGAATTCTTTAAAAATAGAACTCATGAGTCTTAGATTTCTAAAGTGTTCCTTCATGGAATCCTGCTTTGTATCTTACATACTATCTCCTTTTGAAACCTGGCTAGAGATTTTTATATTATGCAACCTGGTATTTTTTTGGATGGTGAATATTTGGTAGGCTCTCTCACTTTTTAAGTTCATATTTTGCTCCATATTTCACAAAATTATGAATTCTGAGAATTTGAAGGGATGAGGTTACTTAGCTGTTGACTTCTCACAGGTGAAACAGAAAGATTTGATTTGAAGTATTTATTTAAATAAATTTAAACCAGAAGAGAAACATTGATTTAGAATCTGAAAAAAGCGATGATGATTAAAATATGTTCTTTGTAGAAACTTGAGAAAATGCAAGAAATTAGGAAGATGAAAAATTAAATGTAGCTACTAAAATTATCTACTCAGAAATAATCATTTGTATTTTGGCATGTTTCCTTCTGCCTGTACTATATTTAATAAAATGAGTACAAACTTACTGCATATTTTCTACATATACATATACTTTATTTTTCTACATACACGTTTTCATGTTACGAGCAATATATTTTGGTGACCTCTTGCACACTGGGCTGTCTAGAGACAGCAAAGTTGATGATGATGTCTAATGAAAATTACCTTTGAAAAGTGCTCTGTAAATCATGAGCACTTTTGTAAGCTTGAAGTTCAATAATTATCCAATTCTGATCTTTTTGCATTTTGGGTATGGCCTCCCTTTCCATTCCTCTGAACAGTGGGGCAAGGCAGGGGAGAGATTTTCCCGTTTTGTCACTAAGAGCTGAGCTGGAGGAATACAATTCTGGTAAAATGTGGCTTCAGATCATGCGTAGTGTTGCTTCCCCTAGGGACTGTGATTTACACTTGGCATATATCTAGGGGTGATAACCAAAATATTAACATCTTCAAAAATTCTGACCAGAAGCTCCCTGTGGCAGATTTCCAAGGTGAGGGGCTTTGGCAAATGATGGTTGGGCAGGTTGAGGTCGGGATGGGCCTCAAAGAAGTAGTTTACAACAGATACATAAGTATTTCCGTGTTGTAACAGCTGGCGTGGCTGAGGACAGCCAGTGATATGTCAGATTGCGGCATAAAACCACCAAAGTGGGGTAGGGTATGGGCTTCAGGTTGGAACATGGGCTCTACCACTGAGGACCTGTGTAATTATTCGCCAGTTATTTAACCTCTTGTTGCCTCAGTTTCCTCACTGCTAAAATGACGATATCGATAGTGTCTATTTTGTGAAGGCTTTGGGAGGATTATATGAATTTGTAGTTTGTAGAATGGTGCCTTTCACAAAGAACTCTTTGTTATGTTTGTTAAATAAATTTATTTTCCCCCATTAGATGGATTCCAAAAGAGATGACTTTCCACATCTTCGAATCAGACTTACCTTTCTTTGATTCAACATGCAAACCTCAGTCCCTCAGCCCATACATATTGTAGCTATAAACACTGCTAGTTACGAATCTTACAGTGATTCGTGGATTTTTATTGTGGTCAATGGGAGACTCTGGGACTTACCTAATTCTCTAGAAGTAGTTTAAAAGGGCTAATGGTGGCTATGAAGTCACATAAACAATTTAGGTTAAAAGTTGTCACACATGTAAAGCGGGAGATATAGTTTAAATTTCATTTTATTCTATTAAAATTTTGTATCTTTTTTAGTCTATAAAGTTAGAATTTTCAATTATTTAAAATAAACCAACTTTAAAACGGAAGCAGAGCACACATTTCTTAATGGAAAAAGCTATGCTGGCTAACAGTTTAGTAGACTTGGTGTGGGAAATAGCACAATAACAACTTAATCTCTTCCTACCAAGAGAGGTAGGAATTACAACATTTTAAATTTTAAATTTCTGTGTTGGAAAATTTATTCATTTTAAGATTTTTGCTGTTGCTTAAGATTTATGCATTTTAAGATTTTTGTTCAGGAATAAACTGAACCTAGTTTATTCCTGAATTATCAAAATATATGCTATTTTAGCTATTTAGACTACTGAGACTTTGGATTAGTTTTCTATATTTCTGCTGTAACAAGTTACCGCACACTTAGTTGATTAAAACAACACAAATTTTGGCTGGGTGTGGTGGCTCTCACCTGTAATCCTAGCACTTTGGGAGGCTAAGGTGGGCAGATCACAAGGTCAGGGGATTGAGACCATCCTGGCTAACATGGTGAAATCCGTCTCTCCTAAAAATACAAAAAATTAGCTGGGTATGGTGGCACGCCTATAGTCCCAGCGACTCTGGAGGCTGAGGCAGGGGAATCACTTGAACCTGGAGACGGAGGTTGCAGTGATCCACTGCACTCCAGGCTAGGCAACAGAGCGAGACACCATCTCAAAACAAACAAACAACAAATGTGTGGTCTTATAGTTCTGGAGATCAAAAGTTTAAAATAAAGGCACCTTCTGGAGGTTAGGCTCACAGTTCCCTTTACATCTTCAAAGCCGGTAGAGTTGCAGCTTCTCTTTCTATTTCCCTTTACGTCTGCCATCACAGTGACTTCTCTCCAAGTTTCTGTCCTTCCTGCCTCCCTCATATAAGGCACCCTGTAATTATATCATTGAGCCCACCTGGGTAATAATCGCTTTATCTTGAGACCCTTAACCACGCCTGGAAAGCCTGTGTTACTCTGTAAGGGAACATATTTGCAGGTTGTAGGAGTTAGGACACAATAGCCTTTGAGGGCAGTTTACCACAGTGTTCATTTTAATTTTTTCTTAATGCCTCTCGTTGGGTTTCCTTCATTTCAAAAAGAAGAAAAATCTCTCCCCTTTGAACAAAAGAAGCAAAGGGATTCAGAGGTTCCAGAGTTATTTTGTTGATAAACTGAATAAATATACATAAATGTTACTTTCTTTTTCTTCTTTTTTTTTTCCCGTTCCAGATCCTGGGTGTTTGGCTGACCTACAGATACAGGAACCAGAAAGATCCCCGTGCTAATCCTAGTGCATTCCTTTGATGAGAAAACAAAGAAGATTTTCTTTCGTATTCTGATCCTGTTTACTTTCTGTAGTTTTATGTTAAGCTCAATTTGCCAGTTGAAGGAAGGAAACACTGTCTGGAAAATTACATTATACATAGCGGAATTATATATTTTTACTCTGCGTTTCTCTAAATGTTTTTTTCTTTTTCTGTTGCTGAAAAATATTTGAAACTTGTGGTCTTTGAAGCTCAGTGGCACCTGGAATTTATTGTATTCAGTGTTGGGCACTGTCCACTGTGGCCTTTCTTAGCATTTTTACCTGCAGAAAAACTTTGTCTGGCACCACTGTGTTGATCATTTGGTGAATCTAAACGTACATCTCACTGGTATACATTTCACTGGTATAATTATATGTAGCACTGTGCTGTGTAGATAGTTCCTACTGGAGAAAGAGTTGATGTTTATTAAAATCAAAGTATGAGATTCTATTATGTTAAGGGAAATCCAAATTCCCAATTTGTTTTTTTTTTTTTTTTTTGTCTTTTTAGGAAAGAGGTGTTGTGATAAAATGTGTTAGTATAAAAATGATGATTTACTTGTAGTAGTCTTTTATGATTACACCAATGTACTCTAGAAATAGTTACGTCTTAGGAAATTGTGATTCAGTTTTTGACTTTTACAGGTAAGTGTGAGGGAGAAGTGGTTTCATGAAATGTTCTAATGCATAACATTTCCATCAGAATGGAATATAATCTTGATATTGTTTTATAATAATTTGAAGTCTAAGAGACTGCATTTTTAAACAAGTTACTATTAATGTGTTGGCCCATGTAGCAAAAAGATACTCAATTATCTTAAAAATTGTTAATTACCTTTTTCATGAAATTTCTCAGTATTGTAACAGCAACTTGTCAAACCTAAGCATATTTGAATGTGATTCCCAATAATTTGAAATGGAAATTGTATTGTGTGGCTCTGTATATTCTGTTAAACAATTAAAGGACAGAAACCTTTCTTTGTGTATGCATGTTTGAATTAAAAGAAAGTAATGGAAGAATTGATTGATGAATTATGTGAGGTGGAATTCTTTTCTTTTTGCTTGTGTTCTCTTTGTTGGACTTAGAGCTGGTTATTGCTATTTTAGTGTATAATCAAGCGATGGAAATAAATTTCCAGCATTAGTATCTGTTGGTAGTCATCCACAAATCCTTTCTTGAAACGTTGCAGTGGCTAATATCTCCATGGTGAGAAAAAGTTTTTCTAAAAAGAGGAGCCATTAATATTTATTTGGGAAAAATATGTAATTTTTTTCCCATTACCAAAAAATGTTAATTTCTTGTTTTACATTCTAGGCAGCATGTGGTATTTTATTGTCTTACTAGGTTTTAGACCAAGTGATTGATCTGTAGAATTTTAGAGGATTTTGTAGGTTTTTCACTTTCATCACTTTGTAACACTAGCTAATCTTCCAAGAAAACAGAATTGTGCCATTTTCACGATATCCTGTGAGCTCTGGGGTAGCCTTAACAATGTCCCCACTTATACAAAAAGATGTGATTGATTATAAGTGGCGCATGAAGGGAGATTTTATTAATATTTTTTATTATTATACATTAAGTTACGGGATACATATGCAGAATGTGCAGGTTTGTTACATAGGTATAAATGTGCCATGGTGGTTTGCTGCACCTATCAACCTGTCATCTAGGTGGGAGATTTTAAAATTCTGTCCTTTTTTAAAGGCATTTGGCATTTTTCATGTTTGTTTTGTTACATTTTGAAATTCTTATAAGGCTCTGGAATCTCCTAATGTAATACTTTCCTTGGTACAAATGATTATACGTGGGAAGCACTGTTCCATAGAGAATCAGCCCTCACCTTGGTTTGTGCTCTGATTGCAGTGGCCTTATGTGGGTCAACCCAGGATGCTTTATGCATCTTCTGAAGTTAAATGATGAATCCTGGAAATTCTAACAAAGGAAGGTCTCTCTTCTATTCAAATATAGAGTGACTGATGTCGGCCTGTCTCAAGTGTGTTACTTAAAAAGCAAAGTGCAAAGAGAATAGCCGTCAGGGTGAGAAGTCTAAACACGTTTTTGAAAGTAGCCTGGTACTGACAAAATGCATTGAATCATGCTCAAGGCTTCATGAAATTGAGTTCGTTAAATTAGGATTTTAAAATGCTGTGGCTAAGAAAAACATGTATATCTAAATATTAAATAAATATGTAAAGATATCTAAGATATCTAAAAAGATGTTCAGATTTTAGTAAAATAAGTTAATGAAAAAGAAAGTCAGGGTCTGGGAAGTATGAATCTTTAGGACTACTAAACTATAGGATTATAAGAGTGGGTAATGACAGCCATTCAAGAAATAATGCGTTTTCTAGCACCAAGGTTGTCTCTGTGAAATAAATCTGGGCTTTTGTGTTCTCTCAGGGAGAGTTGAAGTTGATAGATTACCCAACACCTTCTATGATGCTTCCTGTGATCTTTGTGTCTGGGTGCATACTCAGTGGACAAAAACCTCTGAATAAGTCCATCCTGAATCCCAGATGGCCCTGCTCTGATCCTGCAAAGGTCAGCTTGATCCCAGGATTAGAGAGGGCCACTGCCCACGTGCACAGAAATGCTGCCACAAACATGTAATGTCAGACAGGGTGAGTTTCAGATCAGGGTCTGTCCTTGAATTACAACAAAGGGCTGTAAGGCAAACCCAGACCCTGGATGTCCTTTCTTCCCAAACCTAGCGTTTCTTTAAAAAGGAACTATAGCACTTAAAAAAAAAAAAAAAAAAAACTCCTTTATTCTCTGTTTGCACATTCGTTTTGAGGAATGTTTCTTGGAACATTTGCCCAGTCTGCCTTGATGTTAAGGGTTAAATTTTAAATAGAAAACATAATACTAATGCAAAGGAAAAAAGAGTTCAGCTGTAATTTCTAAAATCTGAGCTCATTGTGGCTTAAATTCATCTCAGATACTCTGTTATCTAAGCAACAATGTGTTTGGTATGAAAACCAGTTTTGCATGCTAAACCTAAGTTATAGGCTGCTGAATGGAACCTTTCAGAGAAGGAAAGGAAACCAGAAGTGTGGCTTTTAGTTCCTCATTTCCTTGAGCCAAAACCTCCTTCTACAGTTTTTCTAAATATTTGTTTAATTCTATTAAAATTTTTATTCATTCTTTTGAAAATACACTAAATATGTGAAACTGTTTTCAATTTTTAGCTGGTACTAAAAAAGTTAGAATCGCATTTTTTGCATAGTATTTCATAGGAGAAAAACACTTTTAGTTATTGTGATTGTACACACATGATCCTTCGCATGTGAATTATTTTATTAGAGATGACAAGAAAGTTAAAAACCAACTTTTCCTGTGTTCTGGATAAGTGAGGGGGTTGCTGTAAAGTTTTTTTCTGTATTTGGTACGTTTGGGGTTAACAGATAAAGTTTAGGCCAGCCTTTCTATGCCAGATGAAATTACAATATGTGTTAGTGAATATGTTCTAAATACATTTAAGAGGGCACTCCATCCTTCCCCCCAGTACTTCCACTCCATGAGAAGAGGAGAGGGAGAGAAGGGAACGGGGCTTGTCATGTTAATGTTTTCCTTAAATGTCACAACTGAGAAATTGTAGTCATTGAAATACCTCTTGAAAATATAAGAAAGGGGAACATTAAATTCCTCTGCCATGCGCCAGGCCACTTCTCTTCACTCTCCTTTGAAAACCAGCGTTTGGAATTCATTTTCAAATGAGGGTTTGAGTCCTGTGAGTTAAAACATAGGTCAAAGAATGGACTTTGGCATCACTTGGAGGGTGAAACCACTTTGCTTACTTTTAGGATCTTGCTTGTCACAGGTCATGGAGTCCTAACTTGACAAGTACCTTCATTTTTTAGACGGAGTCTTGCTCTGGTTGCCAGGCTGGAGCGCAGTGGCGCAATCTCAGCTCACTGCACCCTCCACCACCCTGGTTCAAGTGATTCTCCTGCCTCAGCCTCCTGAGTAGCTGGGATTACAGGCATGCACCACCACATCCAGCCAATTTTTGTATTTTAGTAGAGATGGGGCTTCAACATGTTTGCCAGGATGGTGTCTTATCTCCTGACCTCGTGATCCACCTGTCTCGGCCTCCCAAAGTGCTGGGATTATAGGCATGAGCCATTGCTCCCAGCCGACAAGTAGCCTTTTAATAGGGTAAGTTGACTTGAGTTGGACTTTGAAGTCAAGGTCCTTGAACTGAAGAAAGTTCTATTCTTGCCTTAGAGCTTTTAATGATTTTCTCCTGACTTGTATTCTTCAGTGATTGCTAGTTAGAGGGTTTTCAGTAGACTACTTAGAATTACTGGATTCCAGAAAGAAAGAAAGAAAACAGAGTTAGACAGTCATAGCTGATCATTTGAAGAAGATTGTTGCTCTGAAATAGGTAAAAATGGTTTAATTAGGCATGTTGACCATCTGTGTAAATGGCTTGTACAGATGATTTATGTTAGCTACATTTTGTTTTACAGTTAATTCCTGTTTTTTCCCCCCAAGCTGTTGGATATCAGATAAAACTGATTTTTTTATTGTGGTAAATATATATAGCATTATCATTTTAACCGTTCATAAGCTTATAGTTCAGTGGCAGTAAATACATTCATGTTGTCATGCAACCATTGCCCCCATGCATTTCCATAACTTTTTACCTTCTGCACCCATTAAACAGTAACTCCTCATTCCCCACTTCCCCACAGCCCCTGGCAACCTCCACTCCACTCTCTATGTGAAAACTGGGTACCCCATATAAGTGGAATTGTATCATAGTTGTCCTTTTGTGACTGGCTTATTTATTGAGCATAATGTCCTCAAAGTTCATCCATGTTGTTATATATGCCAGAATTTTCTTCTTTTTTTCCATTGAGCTGGGGTCTTGCTCTGTTGCACAGGCTGGTCTTGAACTCCTGGGCTCAAGCAGTTCTCCCACCTCAGCCTCCCAAAATGCTGGGATTACAGGCATGAGCCATGAGGTCCAGCCATGAATTTTATTCTCTTTTAAGGTTGGATAATATTTCATTGTATGTATAGGTCACATTTTGTTTACATTCATCCATTGATGGATGCTTGAGTTGCTTCCACCTTTTAGCTCTTGTGAATAATGCTGCTATGAACATGGGTGTATAAATACCTGTTCCCTGCTTTCAGTTTGTAAGCATATACCGAAGAGTGGAATTACTGGGCTGGTTGGTAGCACTATGTTTAGTTTTTTGAGGGACCACCATATTGTTTTCCACAAAACAAAAAATGGCTGCACTATTTTACTTTCCTACTACATTATTCATATTTTTATTTGGCTGTTTGAAATAGTACTCTTCAGTCTTCTAATACTCTTCTATTTCTCTGTAGTCAGAGAAATAGTGAAGATATACTTTCACGTAAAAATTTAAATGCAAAGGAAAGATTGTGAGATGACAATAGAGGGGTTCGTTAGGAAGAAAGGCATTGCTAATATTTCAGTGAGTTTAGAACAACCATTTCCATGTTTGTATCTTCTGACTATTTTTGGGAGGGGCAGACAGTCTCTCTCTGTCGCCCAGGCTGGAGTGCAGAGGTGTGATCTCGGGTCACTGCTACTTCCACCTCCCTTGGATTCTTGTGCCTCAACCTCCCGAGTAGCTGGGATTACAGGCATGGGGCACTGTGCCCAGCTAATTTTTTTTGTGCTCCTGGTAGAGTCAGGATTTCTCCATGTTGGCCAGGCTGGTCTCGAACTTCTGGGTTCAAGCGATCTGCCTGCCTCTACCTCTCAAAGTTCTGGGATTACAGGCATGAGCCACCACGACTGACCTCAGTTCTATTTTTAACCTTGTATGTACACATTTCCTGTAGTTGCAATATACCATAGAGGGTCTTAAATTCTTTTTTACTTAGGCCTTATCTGTTTTACCATTATGTTTATAATTTTAACAGATGACAACATAGTGTATTTTGTCTTAATATATCATGGTGCCATTATATTTTTTGGAGGTTGCTTT